AGAACTTTTAGGAATTGCCACACTGTTTTCCACAGAGGTTGTACTAGTTTACACTCCCACTAACAGTGTAGAAGTGTTCCCTTTTCACCACATCTGTTATTTTTTGTTATTGATGATGAGCATTCTGACTGGAGTTGGGTGGTATCTCAGCGTAGTTTTAATTTGCATCTCCTTGATGACTAGTGAGGCTGAACATTTTTTCTTTTGAATGCTCGTATGTCTTCTTTTGAGAAGTATCTATTCATATCTTTTGCCCACTCTGTAATGGGGCTGTTTGTTGTTTTCTTTTCGGCACATTTGTGTTCCTTGTAGATCCTTGATGTTAGGCCTTTGTCAGACATGGAGTTGGCAAGTATTTTTCCCAGTCTGTGGGCTGTCTCCCTGCTCTCTTGATGGTTTCTGTGGCTTTGCAGAAGCTTATCAATTTGATGAGGTCCCATTTGTGTATCTTATTATCTCTTATGGGCCCTTAGGGTTTTGATTAGGAATTGGTTGCCAGTTCCGATTTCCATAAGAAGGTCTCCTGCATTTTCTAAGGTTCTTATAGTTTGAGGTTTTATGTTTAGGTCTCTCATCCATTTAGAGTTACTTTTTGTGTATGGGGATAGGTAGGGGTCCTGTTTCAATCTTCTGCATGTGGTCAACCAGTTTTCCCAGCACCGTTTACTGAATAAGTTCTTGTCTCTCCAGTGGTTGGTGGTGGAGGCTTTGTTGAAGATGAGTTGGTTGAGAAACTGAGGTTTTGTTTGTAGAATCTCAGTTCTATTCCATTGACCTATATGCCTGTTCTTGTACCAGTACCAGGCTGTTTTGATTCTAATAATTTTTAAACTAACTTCTCAGACCCATTTGGACAGCGAACCCAAATTCAACAGAGTACATTGAAAACTACATAAAGATTATAACCTAATAAGAGTGTTTTTTAATTTATTAAGCTTTTACTTAGCCTTGAATAATAAGAGTTATTGGTAATTTATGATACTTCATTGAAATGATTTTTTTTTCGGAGCAGATGGACTTAAATACTATCAAATAATTTTTATAAATCTGGATTACAGATAACTAGCTTTAATTCACTAGTTATATTTTAAAAATTCTTTTGTAATGTGGATATTTTTCTGAATCTGTGCTTCTTATTTACTCAAGTACTGGCTGTGTTTTCTTTTATGTAATATTAGATTATGTAACATTATATAATACTAGGCCATGTAAGGTCAAGAGTAATTTTAAGGTTGAACAACAGCTAGTAAAAGAGATCAAGTATATGCATCCATGAATAAAATGCATGCATAATGTGACATGTCATAATTCACTATGAATGACTTAAGGAGAAGTCTCAATATGAAGAACACTTAGAAGCACAATTTACTGAATTATACATCTGGTTAATGTGAAACTATTGTGGGGGCTGGGTCTGGTGGCTCACGCATGTAATCCCAGCACTTTGGGGCACTAAGGTGGGAGGATCACTTGAGCCCGGGAGTTTGTGACCAGCCTGAGCAACATAGTACAAAAATAAAAAAATAAACAAATTGTCCGGGTGCAGTGGCCCATGCTTGATCCCAGAAGGTCAAGGCTGCAGTAAGCTGTGTTTGTGTCACTGCACTGAAGCCTGTGCAATAGAGGGAGACACTGTCTCAGGAAAGGAAGGAAGGGGCTGGGCTCGGTTGGCTAAGTCTGTAATCCCAGCACTTTGGGAGGTCGAGGCAAGTGGGTTTCCTGAGCCCACGGGTTCAAGACCAGCCTGGGCAACTTGGCGAGACCTTGTCTCTACAATAAATCAAAAAAAGAAAAAATTAGCTGGGAGTGGTAGCGCGTGACTATAGTTCCAGAAGGCTGAGGCGAAGGATTGCTGGAGCCCAGCATGTTGATGCTGGGATGGCCATG